TGGACTCGATGATCAACAAATGTCAAACGGATGTGTTGTACACCGATCGTGTCAGTCACATGAGATTGCTTCAGAAGTTGGTGAGATTTGGATTCGGCCGCCAAATTGTCAAATGGTTCCATGGTTATTTGACATCACGATCGCAGTTTGTTGGAATTGGTGAAAAAAAGTCAAGGACTTTCATTGTACCATCGGGAGTACCCGCGGGAAGTATTTTGGGACCATGTCTCTTTATTATTTTCATAAACGACATTGTTGAAACCGTGTCAAATGCACTTATTTTATTATTTACAGATGATCTGAAATTGATACGCACTATACATTCGCCCATTGATGCCATCATTTTTCAAAGGGCCATTGATCAATTGAGCGACTGGTGTAACGAAAACAACCTGCATTTGAATCTGAAGAAGTGCTACGTAATGACGTATGCAAAGGGTGCAAACGTAGTCAACTACGACTATACGATCGACAACGGCCATCATACGTTTGAACGGACCAAAATGCACAAGGATCTTGGCATTATTTTCGACACAAAACTGACATTCACAGATCACATTGATGCGATTACAGCCAGTGCACATGCGGCAATGGGTTTCATCAAACGAACATTAAAAAATAAGTACACGATAGAATCTGCAAAAATATTATATTGTGCACTAGTTAGGTCAAAATTGGAATACGCGAGTATTGTATGGCTTCCATACCATCGTATCCACTCCGATAGAATAGAATCAATTCAAAAAGATTTTGTTATTTGGTCGTTACGATATGTATATCAGAGAGATGAGAATTATGTATTGCCACCGTATCAGTTTAGATGTGATGTTTTGAATATTCAACCGCTTTGGAGACGGCGTATAAATGCCTCTATATTTTTAATTTTTGATCTGCTTTTAAGTAAAATAGTGTCTAGCTCACTTAGAGATAAAATTGTATATACAAGACTGCAATATAATGAGAACCAAAGAAATTTGAGAAGTACAGAACTGATTAGAGTTAGGGCATTTTCATCGGATTACGCACATAATCAGCCGTTTTACGTAGCTTGTAGAAACTTTAACTTGATAAGAGAAATATTTTTAGAATCGGAAACAAGACACATCTTTAGGAACAATATTGTCAAATTGGAAAATGTGATATTTGTTCGGTGAAAAATTTAATTTTGAACTTTTATGTGTTATATAGAAATTAAAACAGTGAACACAATCGATATCTGCTGCTCCGAAGTCGAGAAGGCTGGTGGCTGGGTATACGATCGGGTGGTGTTTCATTGTGAACGATATTGTACAAATTTTGTGATAAATTCAGTCTGTGATCAGACGGTGAATAAAAAAAAAAAAAAAAAAAAAAATTTCCAAGAGATTCAGTGTACTATCAAATTCCCATTTTTTTATCCTTAAAATAATGTGTTTTTTTATTTAAATTTCAAAGATAGAAAAACGCAATTTTTTTTACTCGGAACTAGAAATATTGAATTTTTATTTTATCTATTCTAAAACTAAATCAAATATTTTGCGATTTATAAAGAAAACAAAAGCTTTGGCACTAGACAATATAAAAAATGTAAACTCGTTGTAAATATGATTTTCGTAAGTTTGTTCATATTCAAGACAAAAAAAAATCAATTAAACAGAACATTTATTACAAGAATATAAAATGAAATGACAATATTGCATTCAAGTAATTTTAAATTGAATGTACGTGTTTATCTTTGATCGAGGGCACTTAATATTCGAAAGACAATCGTCTGAAGACAGGAATAAGATTCATCTTCTGATAAAATTAATTTAATAAAATATAACCTAATATCGTCTGGCTCATGGGATTTGAGTCTGAGAAATAGTATATAGAAAAATATACATGTTTTCAAGCACTTATAAAACACATCTACTTACTGACTAAATATTTGATTTGTTTGATGAACGACCAGTTGAATTGTACAGAATGTTTTGCTGTTTGTTGGTTTGTGGGCAAATTTCAAGATATAATTGTATTTCAGATTTTTCCAAAACAAACTCGGAAATTCTATTTAGAATTCATCATGTCGTGATAATGCTTCACCAAAGTCAGTGGCCTACAAAAAATAATAAGTATATTTGAAAAAAAAAAATGTACATTAAAAATTGGATTGCCTTCTATGATCTACACAATTTACCTGTGATCCAACAAATAAATCGTATTTATCTAAAATTTCATCTTTTGTTAGTTTACTGTCAGCATCCGTATCAGCTTCGTAGATTAAGTGTCTAGCTTCAGCTTCTGAATGATCAAAATCGGCGGGGATAATCCAGTCTCGAACTTCGTCGTTGTTCATATAGCCATCATGGTCTTTGTCACGGAAGCTTGTAAATGTTTCACGTTCATTTTTAACCCATTCAGGTTCTTCTTCGCCATCTTCACTAACTCGGAACATATCACCAATGTATTCATCTACTGAAACTTTACCGTCTTTGTCTTTTTAGGATAGTAGAGAGAAAAAAACGATATTACCTTATAGATACTTTCAACGGCATATAAATGTCGTAAATTCGATGTGTTACCTTTATCAATATCTTCCAGGGTTTCAGAAACAACAATATCACGCATATGATCACTTTCTTCGGGATGTAAAAATTCAACAAATTCGGCACGTGTTAAATTGTCATCACCATCACGATCAGCAACACTCCAACGACGTCGATCACGAGCCAACATCGCTTTATATGAAAATCCTTCATCATCTTTCTCCAGATCCTGTGGATCCATGTCATCCATAAAGCCATAGACAGCCTTACGATATGTCTGAAAACGAAATTGAAAGCACCATATTTATAAAAATGAAACAAATGAATTGTAGTCATAACGTAAGTGCCGCATAAATACGGTGCTTTGAGTGATAAGCTCTGATCAGTTCTCAGCCACTTGAAGATAAGAAAGTGGGTGAACAAAAAAAAAAACTTTTTTTTCGCAAAGTAAAAAAAAGAAGTTTTTTCTATTTTGTGATTAAGCGTATTTCTAATTTTATTGTTTCTGATAGATAGTAAGTTCTTTTTTTTGTATGGTAGCCATACTTCTTTGTATCTATTCAATTGAAATAAAAGTTTGACAAATTAAATCGAATATTAACGAAAATATCTGAAGGTTTAGTTAAAACTAATCATTCGAAACCAATAAGAAACAAGTCATTATAGCAACGTAGAAACAAAACTCATTTTAAATGCAACTCCACAATTCATTTTGTTTTTCAACCGTCATCGTGTCATCTAATGGCAAATCTAATAATGTATTTATCAGTTTCTGTCACTTCCGATTATGAACTGTGCTATACCAATGGTATAATACCATGTCAGATATTTTCGCCTCTTCGTCGACCGTCTGCTTAAAAATCTGTTGTTTTTTGAAATCGTTTTATTCTCATAAAATATAAAAATTGGAAACTATTTACAAAAATGATCATTCACAATACAATTGGAAAATAGTTATGTGTATATAGCTGAAGATTAACATCTCTTATAAGAATATAAACGTACATTATATTTTTAAGGCAAAATTTCATCTGCATGTGGCCGAACAATTATCATTTTCTTCAAGATGCTGTTGTAATTGTTGTTGTTATTTTGAGGTGTGAATTTGTTTATTTGAATTTTAAGCGTTCTTGTATTCACCAGATCTCCAGTGTATGCTCACAAGCTGTTTGTAATATTATTAAATAGTCGTCGACCCCACCACGACTCCAAATCGAATGGACCAAAATCTTCGAGTGCTGGACTTGGGGCAAGTTCAAGATCATGATAAGCAATAACTTTCTTATTAGAATTATTGATATTTTGGTTACTGTTAACCGAGTTTGTTGAACTGATGGATCTAGTTCGGACCGTTGTTGATGATGATGCATTTTGTTCGTTTATATCTTCATATTTGGCCGACAAAACGTTCCATGAATCACGTATGTATTGTATTAATTCTTCATATTGAGGTGAAACATCGGGTTGAGGTTCATCATCTTTAAAATAAGCAATTCGGATGCCATCGCTTTTATACAAGCTATTGTTGCGATTCGAATTCGATCGTCGATATTGTTGGAATACCGGCCTTGCAACGTTTATATCCATGCTATTATCACTAATATTGTTTTTATCTTGGTGCGCATTATTGTTGGGATATGCTTTTGTCAATTGTGCATTATTCACTTTAATTTTACGAATTGTTTCAATTTTATCGTAATTTTGTGACAACCCAGTGCGTGTTTTGGCTACTAGTTTGCTTGGTCCTTGGTTGACTGTATACATGACTTTTTACTCTCGAACACGAATATATTTGCAGTCAAATCAACAAATCAAATCAAGTTGGTTAAGAAACTCATGAATATTTTCTTTGTTTATCTTCTTTTGCTTGCAATTTATCAATATAAATTAACGTAAATCAACCAATGTCTCAATGTTTAAATAGCTTGTCCACCATTTCTAGAACATCACAATCATAAAGAATGTATTTTCTGTTCTGTTCGGTTATTTTTTTTCAATTACTCCAAATCTTGTAGGCTCAGATGTTTTTCGAATACACGCTAAAATCTCAGTTTTTTGATTATATAACAATTCTCCGCGCAATAGGTATAACTTCGACCTAAGAATTGCTCAATAATGTTTTATTTTGTTATTCAATTTGCTTTAAATTTTTATGATGATTTTTTTTTGTTTTTTTCTTACGCTGCGATTTCTTCGAAAGTAAAAAGTCACCAAAATATTAACGTAACAAATGAACTGTAATGATTTCGTCACATTTACTGCCAATTACAAAGTTTTCATGTATTGAGATTTTTCACGCGGTCGTTTCGTCTTCTTCGAGTTTAGCCGTGTGTGCTAAGAAACTGAACTGACAATGCTCATTCATTCCGTCACTATCCATACATATAGTACAGTTCGTGCACCCATATACACAAACGATGGAATGGAGTTTATGTGACAATATACAACTGTAAGACATTCAATCGTGTTTTCGATGTCTTTGTTCGAATACACTTTATATATAAATATATAAAGCATACTAACTGGACTAACTAAACGCAACATGTTTAGAAAAATAGCTAAAAAGCATCAACAACAACAAAAAGTCAGTACTATAACACTCATTCATTTTTATTTCTATTTTCATCAATGTGGTATGTTTTGCACGTAATAAAAAATTATTATGATAAGTTAATAATAATAAGCATTCCCACCAATATCGTTATTAGGATCGGAACCTAATAACGTTATTATGATTTTATTAACTTATCATGATAAAATCATAATAATGATATTAGGATTACATCCTAATACTTATTATGTTTTATCATAATATTTATTAGGATTCATCTTAATAAATACCGTGGACACTTCACTTGTCTGAAGTAGCGCCATCTGTTGAAAATTGTTTTTGGCTGAATAACAATATGCTATCAAGTGAACACGGTATTTATTAAGATCAATCCTAATAAATATTATGATAAAACATAATTAGTATTAGGATGTAATCCTAAAAACATTATTATGATTTTGTCATGATAAGTTAATAAAATCATAATAACGTTATTAGGATCCGATCCTAATAACGATATAGAACATAATAATTATCATCCTAATAAAAATTTGTTACGATATCGCAAAACGCAAAACTATAATATGATTGCGTTGCCGCAAAAGTATGTTTTAGCGTAGATGGCGCTGATTTAAATGGACATTTGTATGTATAGACGGTGGCGCCGCCCTACTCAATTAAACACTGGACTACAGCGTTTCCAATCGTTGATCACAGCGTACGATTTGACGGTATTCATTTATTTTTAACATGTTAGAGCTAAATCACACAGTTTGAAAAACACACATGACTGTACTAAACTGATTAAACTGATTCACAACGTTTTTTAAATACACATCATAATATATCTATGCATTCGCATACATTTTAATGTTGAATTTTCTGCAAAATGATACCCCAAACGATTTATTTTCATTCTTTTTTGCCTTTTGAATGTTTGCACAAAATTTTATATTATTTCATTCAATAGACGGATATAATTAGCGCCAAAAATATGCTAATAATGTACCGAATTGCAGATTGGCAAGTTCAGAAATGACTACAGTTAAAATCTTTAACACATCTTTAACATACTCACATCCCAATGTAATTTTTCGGCATTCTCTGGATTGTGTTGTTTCCATTGTCGATTTACATCGTCTTCAATATAACGTCGCTGAGTGAATGAAATCCAGTTCTTCAATTCGGCCATATCAACGAAACCATCTTTATCATCATCAATTCGATCAACGATGACTCTAAATTTAAAAAAATAAAATAAATGATTCAAGATAAAACATATGGGTAAAATTATTATTAAATTGAACCAATTGTAGTATGACACTTAATCGGTCATCGGTTTCAATAAATGACCGGTGCATGCAAGTTCTGTTTGTATTTTTTTTTCTATTTTAAATATTTTGATTAAGTCATTAATTCTTGTGGAAGCACGTGGATAGTGCGTTGGTGTTTCGTGCAAATAATTGCAATCACAATTCTAATTTCATAAATTGAAATAATTTTTATGTTCCAATTTCTATCTATGTCAATTGCAAAATTTGAAGATAATTTTTGTCGTTGTGTACCACAAAAGGTTCTTGAATTTTTTTCTTTTGCTTTGACATGTTTTCTTGTTTTTTCTTATAGTAATTAGAATGTACTTTGAAGCAATATTAAGAATATTTTAATTTTTATTGAAATATGTTTCAAAAAATCAAATTACTAATTTTATGCAAATAATAAACATTTTTTTAAAACTTTGCAACTTTGACTTACCCAAGACGACGGCGACTTTCTTCTGGTGGTAATTGATCAAAAGTTTTTGCTTGATCTTCACCCAAAAATTGCTCATGATCATATTTGTTGTCGTGATTTGGGTTTTGCAAGTGATTTGTGTGTACTAAATGGTCCAAATTATGGTGTTGAGTAGATGCTTCATCTGGTTTTGGGATGGCTGTTGCATAAACGGAACAGAATAGCAACAAATAGCTGCTTAAAAGTATTCCATAAACCACCATTTTAAATTTCAATAATATTCACAGATCACGCGTTTTTTTTTAATTTAAAATTAAATCTGAAAAAAAGCAAATAACAAAACGATTTTTAGAAAAAAACTTAATTCCGAAATAACCAAGAACCAAAAAATGCACAAATTAAAACGAGCAATGTGAAATAGCACAAGGGACGACAACTAGTAATCAGCTCGAGCGGTGATAAGTGAATGTTATGAAAAAAGCGGTTATGTGCTTGACTATGTCGTGGTTTCTTGCTCCATAATTTTTGTGCACACACAGCAAAAGTTGGAGAAAAAAAATGCCGCTACTTAGCTAGTGATATTTTTGTCATTCCATTGTAACATAAAAGGAACTTCATACATATGCATTACATTATGTTTCTAGTACAAATCATCTTTCCAGTGTAAGCGTTGATTGTTTTTTTTTCTACTGTTCCTTCGCTTTTCATTCATGAAAAAACATTCTTCTTTCCGTTTTAGCGTTAATGTGTGGCATAAAGTGAATACATGTATGATGCCATTTGATACCCATTTGAATTGTACGCGATAATAACACTTGTGGCCACTGCTGTGTGCCTTAATTTTCGACATGTTTTCCATTTTTGTGCCATTTCATATATATTTTTTTTTTGTTATTTATTTCAAAATACAAACACAGCATCAAATAAAAATCAAACCGACTTAGAACGAGAACATAGAATATACCAGACGTTTCTTCCGGAGATGATATTTTGGAGCTGTTGTTTTTTCAGTAAATGATAAATTCAAATCTAGCATGATTACGTGGTCAAATCATAAGCCGAGGCTATTCTTATCAGATTGAACTCTTTTTTACTAAATATTTCCAGAAGTTTACACTTATTTTATAATTATATAACAATCATTTGTATAATATTTAACCAATCAGAAGAAAGAAAAGAGAAATGATTAATGGAATTTATTGTTGATTTTCGATTGTCTGAAACCGCTTTCAAAATCTGTGGATATCAGTAATAATCTTGAATGAAAGCAGTGTTTTGAAAGCTCCTACTCTAGTTATAGAAAATTTAATTACTTTTTCTTCTAAATATTGACTTAGTCAATAGCACACACACACAGTGAATCGCTGATCAAATCGAAGATGGCCCTGATATGCTTCTCTAATAAAAGCCGGCACATTGTAATTCTCACGTATGATTTAATAAAGAAAAATTGCCTATTGTCCACGCTGATAATTTGTTTATTTTTTTTTAAATGTTTCACCTTAAAAAAATTACACTTACCATTCAAATGTTTTTATCTAACTAAATCGTAATAACTAATTTCTTGCGTTTGAAATTACGTACAAAACTAAAAATAAAAAACTAGAACAATATCTTGCACTCAGAACGGAATTCCATGAATAATAATTCAATCGTACTTCAGTCTAAATTAACATCGTAAACAAATGGCAATCTTGTACGGAAGCAATATTGATTTGACATTTCATATGGTCGCGTTCAGAATTTATTGTGGTATTTTTAATATGGATGGCAAAGATTTTCTTTTTCATTGAAATTTCTCTTTTTTAATAAACAAAAAAGGTTTTTTTTAAATAAATAACGATATTTTTTAAATAAGTTAAATAGCAAATGATTTTATTTCCATTTCAAATGTGAATGCATTCAGTTAGGTGGGTATTATGAATTGAGTTGACAGCTAGATTAGTTGATTGCTTGTGGCACCAGAGAGCGTAAAAGCAAAGTCATACAACCGATTTGACATAACCTCTCTTTTCGATCTGCTTTGTTCAAGTTGACGGTATGTTCTTATTTTCGTGGTCTTGAAAATTTTCCAAATTTTCTTATATAAATTGTGAAAAAGTGCCTTTTTTTCATTGCAATACTTAGAAAAAACATCAATGAAAGCCAATGTAGTGAAATTTTGGTGAAAACTTAAAAAAATTATTGGATATTTTTGAAAAGAAATTTCAACAAGAATCCAATTGATGTAGAATGCTTGACACGTGGTTTACATTGGATACATTTACCAAAAATTCAAACAGTTTATTTGTCTTCATTGATTTTAACGATATGATTTAAAGAAAAAATTGTGAAATATTTTTAAATATCATCGGTTATTGCATTCATCTGATGAAATTCAACTTTGTTATTCTTACAGGTTAACACAACAGCAAAATGACAAATTCAAAAGGTTATCGTCGCGGTACCCGGGACATGTTCTCGCGTCCATTCAAAAAGCATGGTGTTATTCCACTTTCGACATACATGAAAGTGTACAAAATCGGAGATATCGTTGATATCAAGGTAAATATGCCAATTTTTACTTGGTGATCGTGTGATATGTGCAAAATAAATATATGTGAAGACAGTGAAATTGATTCAAGTTGCGACAAAGATTTTTTATTAGCGGTGACTTTAAGCAACGAATCAAAACCAAAATAATTGAATAAACCAATTGATTTTTATGCGTAATCACTGTTTGAATTCAAGATCATAGGATTAATCCATCTTTTTATCTTCTAATGAATTCTTTTTAATATGTTTTTTTTCTGTTCCTTTTCCAACGATATTAGGGTAATGGTGCCGTTCAAAAGGGTATGCCATACAAAGCTTATCACGGCAAAACTGGACGCGTATACAATGTAACACCACATGCTGTTGGTATTATTGTCAACAAACGTGTTCGCGGAAAGATTCTGCCAAAACGTATCAATGTTCGTATTGAACATGTTCAACATTCGGAGTGCCGTGAAGATTTCTTACGCCGTGTCAAGGAAAACGAACGTTTGTTGAAAGACGCTAAAGAAAAAGGCAAATGGGTATCATTGAAACGTGAACCAAAACCACCACGTCAAGCAGTCGTTGTGAAAAATCCACCAACCCCAGTCGCATTGGCTCCAATCCCATACGAATTCATTGCATAAAAAAACGTTTACGATTTTTAATTTGTGTGTGAAAGAATAAAATAACATAAGCCAACAAAATGCGAAATAAATAAAGTGAATTTTGATGCAAATACACATGCAAACACTTGACTACCATTCATTTTGTGTACAATTTTCAGTGAGTTTTTGCTTTGTTTTTTTATAGTAAGAGTTGATCGGTAATGTATACTTTGCAGTGAGTTTTTGATTTTTGTACAGAGGTAATGTATTTATTCTCAGACTTATATAGTTGATTTTTTCGAGCTTTTTCTTTTCATTTTGCGTACGTTCAATGTGTGTTTTCGTACGTTTAAGGTATGCAATCAACCTGAAGTTTTCTATGAACCAATTAACGATGATAAGAGTTTATTTTTGCAACTGACAGATGAAATTATCTCTTGTTTTACCGTATTTTACCGCCAATTTTTTTATTAAGCCATCACCATCAAGCAAGCAACAACTGTTTTTTTCGGTTGATTCTAACCTTCTGCACTCTTTATTTTAACGCATTGTTTTAAGTATTTCGATAATTTGTGATCATTTGTGAAAGATTTTTTTAAAAAATGGAAGAACGCTTTAGAATGTTGGTCAAAAATTATCCCATTGAAACCGAAGAAGAAACTATGACATTCTATGGTTACCTAGGAACTGTAATAGGAATTGAGCGGCGAGAAAATGGAATTTTGCTCGTGGAATTTACAGAAAAAAAGGCTCTCGTAAACGCGATTGCATCATTTTTGCCTGGGTATGTTGAATTCTTGAATTAATAAATTTAAGCCAAGTCAGTTTATGTTCAAATCAAATTGTTGACTGTTTCGAATTCTATTATTATCCTTGGAAAATTATTCCATGTCAATTATTTAACTTTTTTTTCAGTGGAAGAATTTCTTCAAATATTGTCGCAGAAAAGTATGACTCTCCTCCTCCACAGAAAGAAGATGATATGTCCTCGTCCAGAAGCACGTCTTCTTTGAGTTCGTATGTGCCATCATCGAGCTCAAGTTCAAAAGATGATGAAGAGGAAGATGAATCCGGTCCATCAACATCAAAAAGATTAAAATTTGAATGATTTTTTTTTTCGTTTCGGTTATTTAGATTTTTTTCTACTATTAATACACTTTTATTAAGTTTTATTTCTGAAATGTACATCATAATAATATTTATTCAGCGCCATAACTGTCGATTTTTCTTAAGAATAAAATTTGATAAATATATAAATAAATAAATAATTAAATATTGGGAGCACAGATAAATTTCCATCGTTTTTTTCTTAAAAACTTTTTTGGAAAATTAGATAATTGGATTTTTCTAAATGTTTTTTGTATTTTTCCTGTTACTTTTTACTTAAAAACGATCAGCCGACATCAATAAAGATTATCTGTAACAGTTTTGAGTTGTAATTCGATCACGTTTGATTAATTACGAATTTTTGGATTTCACATCAATTTTCGGGATTCGGCTCAACTCACATATGGTTTTTCATATTTAAAACTCTCGAAACAGATCCTCTCTTTACAATCAATCTTAATTTATTACGAAAATGAATCCATTTATAAATTTATAGCAACATTTGATAACCAAATTTTCCTTGAATTTGTATTCGCTCCAATTTTCACCACTTTCTGGAAACGTAAGCATTTGATATCAATCGCATTGTTCATATATTTAGTCAATCTACGACTTTTTCATGCATTTCACATAGTCTTTTTTACCAAAATTATTATTATTATTATTATTTATTCACCGTCTGATCACAGACTGAAATTATCACAACATTTTTGTACATCATCGTTTACAATGAAACACTACCCGATCGAGTATCCAGCCACCAGCCTTCTCGACTTCGGAGCAGCAGACATCGATTGTTTTCATTGTTTTAATTACTAGTGTTTCAATACATATCATAACATTTAGTGAATTTATCGGTCAACAAATATCAAATTGTCCATTTTAACAATATTATGTCTAAAAATTTGCCTCGATGCCGATTCCAAAAATGTTTCTCTTATCAAATTAAAATTTCCACAGGCCACGCAAAATGGCTGTTTGTGTGCATATTCCGATGTAAATGTTCTAACTCTAATCAATTCGGTATTTCTCAAATTTCTTTGGTTCTCATTATATTGCAGTCTTGTATATAAAATTTTATCTCTAAGTGAGCTAGACACTATTTTGCTTAAAAGCAGATCATAAATTAAAAATATAGAGGCATTTATACGCCGTCTCCAAAGCGGTTGAATATTCAAAACATCACATCTAAACTGATAAGGTGGCAATACATAATTCTCATCTCTCTGATACACATATCGTAACGACCAAATGACAAAATCTTTCTGAATTGACTCTATTCTATCGGAGTGGACACGATGGTATGGAAGCCATACAATACTCGCGTATTCCAATTTTGACCTAACTAGTGCACAATACAATATTTTTGCAGATTCGATCGTGTATTTATTCTTTAATGTTCGTTTGATGAAACCCATCGCCGCATGTGCACTGGCTGTAATCGCATCGATGTGATCGGTGAATGTCAGTTTTGTGTCGAAAATAACGCCAAGATCCTTTTGCATTTTGGTCCGTTCAAACGTGTGATGGCCGTTGTCGATTGTATAGTCATAGTTGACTACGTTTGCACCCCTTGCATACGTCATTACGTAGTACTTCTTCAGATTCAAATGCAGGCTGTTTTCGTAACACCAGTCGCTCAATTGATCAATGGCCCTTTGAAAAATGATGGCATCAATAGGCGAATGTATAGTGCGGATCAATTTTAGATCATCTGCAAATAATAAAACAAGTGCATTTGTAACGGTTTCGACAATGTCGTTTATGAAAATAATAAAGAGACATGGTCCCAAAATACTTCCCGCGGGTACTCCCGATGGTACAATGAAAGTCCTTGACATTTTTTCACCAATTCCAACAAACTGCGATCGTGATGTCAAATAACCATGGAACCATTTGACAATTTGGCGGCCGAATCCAAATCTCACCAACTTTTGAAGCAATCTTATGTGGCTGACACGATCAAAGGCCTTTGCGAAGTCGGTGTACAACACATCCGTTTGACATTTGTTGATCATCGAGTCCAT